GTAAAAACGGCAAAACATGGGAGGCAACCTCACTTTACAACGATCTGCTCTCACAGAAACCATTCCACAAGAACTAACCCAGTCTTGCAAGAAAGACACTAATCCATCTTAACAACATAATCACCTCTTAAAGGCACCATTTCCCAACACCACCACATTGGGAAACAGTCTCAACATGGGTTTTGGTGGGGACAACCTATATTCAAATCATGGAAGTTTGAACATGAGAAGTGAAAAGTGTGGCCTTCAAAACCAAGATAAATACAAAATCCCACCACTAAAAGAAAGAGGCTGTTCACTTCCAGCCTGTTCTTTACTCTTTCAAAGGCTACACAAGATGTTTACTATTTAGGGTAGAATTGTTTAAAAATTATAACTGTGCATTCCTAGTTGTTATGAGAAGGCCAACAACAACAAAGGTAGGATAATCCTTGCCCTTTCCAGGCCATCTATTACAATTGGGAAGAAAGTAACAGTAAAGTACAAACACCAAATTTAGAGTACAGACTGAAAGCACTGACTCAAAGGAAGAAGAAATCACATCTAATTGTAGTATAAGTTGAGCATCCTGAATCCAAAACTCTGAAATCTGAAACGCTCCAATGAGCATTTTCTTTGAGTACCATGTTGGTGCTCCAAATATTTCAGATTTTAGATTTTTGGATTTAGGATACTAAACTGAAAAGTAGTGTAAATATTCCAAAATCCAAAACACTCCTGGTCCTAAGCATTTCAGACAAGAGATGCTCAATCCTTACTATTTATTTCTATTAAAAAAGAAAGTAGAACCTCAGTCTTCAAGGATGCATATAGTTAGGCATATCTGATGGAAGAAAAGACACGATTTTCTTTGAGGGAGCTGATTAAATATAGTGTAAAACAAACTTTCTCAGTGGTTCCTCATCTGAACCACTGATGACTGCAAATGATGTGATTATATTCTCAATTCTGCCAAGGATGATATATAATTAGTACCATTCAAGAAGCACAGGACAGAAATTGGAGATAATTCATTACATTCAATGGATAGCTTGGAGCCACAGTTCTCAAATTAACACGACTCAGGAACTTGGAGGGCTTGGCTTGTTCAAACAGACTGCTAGGCCCCAGCCTAGAGACTGATTCTTTCGGCAAACCGAAGAATGTTTTAGGGCACTAAGAATTAATTCTGGTTAAGAAAGGCTGATATAAAGTATATCTTTATTCGAAAATCATGTATGTTCTTTAAAGTAAATACTGAAAACAGAGACCAGCATCTTTACTTCATCTATTCAAGACATTATCTTGATCTGTTTCACTGCAGTCTTATCTTTTGAAATAAATATTCTTGGTTATTACATATGAAGAATATATACAAACACTGTACCAACCTATACAAGCCCTAGTACTAAAGAATATGGCCAGTGCATGCAGATGTGGTGTGCTAGAACAATGATTCTCAGGCTTCTGTAAAAAGATGGAAGTTCTGCCCACTTATAGCACCAAAGGGCAGTTTACCAATCCTTTCATATTAGAAGGAGTCTTGAGGTGGAACTTTAAGTGATCTCTTGCTCAACTAGACAAAATATTTATTGAAATACTCTCAATAATATGTCAGCAATATATTTACCATTACTGATAAGATTTTTTATATTTATACTAAATAACAACTTAGTTGAGTAGAAAACTCTTGGGTCCTAACTACTTGAGTTCACAACTTCTCAACCCATTGACTTCTGTCACATTGTGTAACAGAGAAATCTGAAGAAATCTGTATATAACCTATATTCACTAATTATCCCCATTTACCTTGATTCCTTGGCCTGACTCAACTCATAGTTAGCTTTTTCTTCTTAAGGCTTATAATTTTAAAAACTTAACCTGAACTTTTACCTAGGTGTGGGTCCCCTTCCACTGATCTTATCTGAAATTTTCTGTTTCCCTTAATTATACATATCTGAAGTTGGGAGTTTTTGTTTTTACTTAAAGTCTTCTTTCAGCCGGGGGCGGTGGCTCAAGCCTGTAATCCCAGCACTTTGGGAGGCCGAGGCGGGTGGATCACGAGGTCAAGAGATCGAGACCATCCTGGTCAACATGGTGAAACCCCGTCTCTACTAAAAATACAAAAAATTAGCTGGGCATGGTGGTGCATGCCTGTAATCCCAGCTACTCAGGAGGCTGAGGCAGGAGAATTGCCTGAACCCAGGAGGCGGAGGTTGCGGTGAGCCGAGATCGCGCCATTGCACTCCAGCCTGGGTAACATGAGTGAAACTCCGTCTGGAAAAAAAAAAAAAAAAAAAGTCTTCTTTCATTATATCTGACCATCATTTCTGTTCCAAGTGTCTGAGAAAGTAAATCCATTTTTACAGAGTTTATTTAACTGTTTCCCTTTTTCAACTTGTAGCCCTTTCATCTAGTTTGTTCTCTCCTTATGGGATTTCTTTCCTTCGTTGGGTTCCCAGTAACTTTCTTTCATAGTCATTACCTCAAAACATTCATTTTCATCACTTTATAGTTTTTTAATGCTTTGTGAGTTTCACAAGTTTGTTCTTCACAGATACTTCGCTATCCATAACATTAAATTCACGTCTTTCTAGTCTATTGTCTTTAAAAATGGAATGTCAGTTTTGCTACCATATATTAGTTCCCAGTCATCCTCCCTGTTATCTGCTTCCCTTTTCAACTTGTAGCCCTTTCATCTGCGTTTGCTCTCTCCTTATGGGATTTCTTTCCTGATTTAATGGAGCCACATTTATTTTTACGTGCTGTACAGCATGCCCACTGTTTTTGTCTTCATTTTTTCCTGGTTCCTTTCACATTGACAGGGCAACTCTTCCTTCAGTGCTTCAGATTCTCTCCCTTCTTCTTATTCTGCAGTATTTTTTTCGGAGAGCTTTCATTTTCCCCATGTTAAAGCACAACCAACCTAGGCTCAGTTTCTGCCAAACAGAGAGGTACAGATCGCCCTTGCTAAAAGAATCCCTTCCCAAAATGATGTGCAAGATCTAAGCAATTCCCAGTGCTTATATTGAGTGATTCTTAGAACAAAGGGGGGACTTCCTGTATTCCAAATAACTAAACTCCCTAAAACATTGAACAGGTGGAATTTTTGAAATTCTACCCTTTGGCCTCATGCTACCTACCTACCTGGGCCCTACCTACCTATGTCCTACCTGTTGTCGCGGCTCAGGACATGCTACCCCAAACTACAGCCACTTGAAGGCCATTGTGACTTTCCCTCTCCTTTCTGTAGGACAACTAGCGGTAAAGAAATTCTCTAAGCTACATCTTCTGAAAGTATGTCCTTTTTTGAGACAGAGTTTCACTCTGTTGTCCAAGCTCGAGTGCAGTGGCATGATCTCAGCTCGCTACAACCTCCCCATCCCAGGTTCAAGCAATTCTTGTGCCTCAGCCTCCCGAGTAGCTGGGACTACTGGTGGGCACCACCACACCCAGCTAATTTTTGTATTTTTAGTAGAAATGGGGTTTTGCCATGTCGCCCAGGCTGGTCTCAAACTCCTGTCCTCAAGCGATTCACCCACCTCAGTCTTCCAAAGTGCTAGGATGACAGGCATGAACCATCACACCCGGCCTTGAAGTCATTAAACCCTCATGTGACAAGGGTCCCACCCTATACCTGGAGGAAAGGAATGTTACACAGAGAGGCCAAGAAGAATCTCAACAAACAAACCTAAGTTCCCCCATTTGTTACTATTGGATAATATCCTTTTTGTCCAATCATACTTCTATATGACTGACTGTCCACTGTTCACTGAACTTACACACAAAAATACAGTTTTTCCCAGATCTGTGGGACTTCGGGTCTTCATTTCTGAGGGCTCCTATGTAATGCAAAACTTTGATTAAATAAATTTGTTAAGCTTCTCTATTGTTAATCTGTTTTTTGTTATATGGGTAATAGTCATGACCTCTGCAATTGGTGAGGAAAAGACATTAGTTTTTCTCTCCTCCACTACCTTTTCTAGGCTCAGTTCAGTTCACCATCTTCTCCATGCAGCCCTTTCCTGCCATGAAGACCCATTCTGACCCCTCACCTCTTTAAAGGCTAATCTCTGTCAGTGCCATACAACGTACCACTTGTTTTGTAATTATTTCTCTAACTCCAGGTCAGGTTAATCAATGTCAGTTACACTTTAGACTTCTGTGTAAAGAATATTTGTCAACTGGCAGAAATGCAGTTACAGAGAACTTCATAAAGAATCCAAACACTTCCACTAAGGTTTAATTTTGCACAACAGGTACAATTTAGGCAACCAAATATCTAATACTGAGTTTAAAAAAAAAACAAAAAAACCTCAACATTCCAGTTTCTCATCTGAAGCTCTTGGAAACAATCAGTTTATTTGTAAGTAGAAAAAAGGCTCTATATATTAAAAGATAAAAACATAATAAGTTTCCATTGCTTAAAAAAAACTTGCTAATTAAAAAAGTTAAAATAGCATGTAACATACATGTTATATTTATAGAAAGAGAGTTTTTGTTTTGCTTTGTTTTGTTTTGTTTTGAGTCAGTATCACTCCGTCACCCAGGCTGGAGTACAGTGATGTGATCTCAGCTCACTGCAAGCTCCACCTCCTGGGTTCCAACAATTCTTGTGTGTCAGCCTCCAGAGTAGCTGGGATTATGGGTGTGTGCCACCATGCTAATTTTTGTATTTTTGGTACAGACAGGGTTTCGCCATAGAGGCCACACTGGTCTCGAACTCCTGATCTCAAGTGATTTGTCTGCCTCAGCCTCTCAAAGTGCTGAGATTATAGGCACAAGGCACCATGCCTGGCCATATAACATAATTAAGAACATAAAATATTCTTTTGGGTTGGGACAGTCTAAAAGTACTATAAGCAAATATTATATACCAAATCTGTCAGGATCCAAAATCCACACAATTTTGTTTCAATGAGATCTATTATATTACATTCATCACCTCATTTCTGCTTATTATTAACTTATTTTTAATACAACTCACTCATATTAATGATCAGAGTAAAAAGTCTACTTACCCCACCCATTGTAATTCCATGAAGAAGTGCAACATAAGGTTTCTGGCAAGAAGCTGAAAGAAAGAGAGCTGCAATTTTAGTTATAGTGTTTAAAATACTTCCCTTTTTCTAAAATATCACATTATATATACTATAAAGATTTTCTCTAGGAAATTTTAGCAAGAAACACCAAAGAAAACTAAATGGCTTGTAAAATACATATTTTTAAATGTCAATCCAACACAATCCTGATTATCTATTCATTATCATTTAACAACATAACCTTCCATTTTAAACAAAAGCCAGGGCCCAGTGTGGTGGCTCACACCTGTAATCTCAGCTCTTTGGGAGGCCAAGGTAGAAGGATTGCTTAAGGCCAGGAGTATGAGACCACCCTGGACAATAAAGCAACATCTCGTCTCTTTTAAAAAAAAAAAAAAAAAATAGCCAGGTGTGGTGTCAGGCATCCGTAGCCCCAGCTGCTCAGGAGGCTGAGGTGGGAAGAACACTTTATCACTTAAGCATTGGAGGTTGAGGATGCAGTGAGCTGCAATCATGCCACTGAACTCCAGCCTGGGCAACAGAGCAAGACCCTATCTTTCAAAAATAAAAAAGGATTTCTGCCAAGATGGCCAAATAGGAACAGCTCCAGAGCACAGTTCCCAGCGAGAACACCACAGAAGGCAAGCGATCTCTGTATTGCCAACCAAGGTACCAGGTTCATTTCAATGGGACTGGCTGGACAGTGGGTATAGCCCAAGTAGGGCAGAACAAGGCAGGGCGGGGCGCTGTCCCATCTGGGAAGTGAAACACTGGACAGAGGATCAGGGACCCTTCCCCTCTGGTACTCCAGTTCAGATACTGCGATTCTCCCATGGCCTTTGCAACCCACAGGCAAGGAGATCCCAGCCAGACTGAAAAGCACTGCAAGTTACTAGCACAGATCTGAGCGGCAGCTGCAGCCAGCACTGCAGGTCATTGGCACAGATCTGGGCAGATGTTTTGACTAGCACTGAGAGCAACTGCCGGATGGAACTTCCTGCTCCCCAGAAAAAGGGGGAGCTGAAAGCAGGGAGACACGTGATATGGCTTGGTGGGTCCCACTCCAATAAAGACCAGTAAACTAAAGCCCTCTCACTTGAGAGTTTCGCAGCCAGTACATCAATTCAACCTTGACCTGGGATGATCAAGCTCGACTGGGAAAAGGCATCCGCCATAGCTGATCTTACCTGTGTAAACAAAAGCCAGAGGAAACTTACACAGCAGCTGGACTGAGCCCGTGGCAGCCCAGCAGCACCTCTGCAAGCAGACAAGGGACAGACTGCCTCCTCAAATGACTCCTTGACCCCTGCATAACCAAAAAGATGACACATACAGGAGAGCTCTGGCTGATGACTGGTGGGTACACTTCTGGGATAAAGCTACCAGAAGAAAGATTAGGCAGCAACACTTGCTGTTCTGCAGCCCCCGGGGGTGATTCCCAGGCAAGCAAGGTCTGGAGTGGACCTCCAGCAGTCCTACAGCAGAGGGGCCTATTGGAAGGAAAACCAAAAAAACAAAAAGAAATAGCTTCAACATCACTCAGAGACCCCATCTGAAAGTCAGCAACTTCAAAGATCAAGGGTAGATAAATCCACGAAGATGGGAAGAAACCAGCACAAAAAGGATGAAATCATCAAAGACCAGAATGCCTCTCCTCCAAGGGATCACAATTCCTCACCAGCAAGGGAACAAAACAGGATGGAGACTGAGTTTAAAGAACTGACAGAGGCAGGCTTCAGAGGGTAGATAATAACAAACTTCTCTGAGCTAAAGGAACATGTTCTAATCCAATGCAAAGAAACTAAAAATCTTGAAAAAAGATTAAACAAAATGCTACCTAGAATAACCAGCACAGAGAAAAACAAATGACTTGATGGAACTGAAAAACACAGCATGAGAACTTCACAAAGCATACACAAGTTTCAATAGCTGAATTGATCAAGCAGAAGAAAGGATATCAGAGATTGAATATCAACTCAATGAAATAAAACGAGAAGGCAAGATTAGAGGAAAAAAAAGTGAAAAGAAATGAACAAAGCCACAAAGAAATATGGGATTATGTGAAAAGACCTAATCTACGCTTGATCGGTATACCTGAATGTGATGCGGAGAATGAATCCAAGCTAAAAAACACTCTTCAGGATATTATCCAGGAAAACTTCTCCAGCCTAACAAGGCAGGCAAACATTCAAATCCAAAAAATACAGAGACCACCACAAAGATATTCCTCAAAAAGAGCAACCCCAAGGCACATAATCGTCAGATTCACCAGGGTTGAAAGGAAGGAAAAAATGCTAAGGGCAGCCAGAGAGAAAGGTCCGGTTACCCACAAAGGGAAGCCCATCAGACTCACAGCAGATCTCTCAGCAGAAACCCTACAAACCAGAAGAGAGTGGGGGCCAATATTCAACATCCTTAAAGAAAAGAACTTTCAACCCAGAATTTCTTATCCAGCAAAACTAAGATTCGTAAGCTAAGGAGAAATCAAATCCTTAAAGAATAAGCAATTGCTGAGAGATTTCATCACCACCTGGCCTGTCTTACAAGAGCTCCTGAAAGAAACACTAACCATAGAAAAGAACAACCAGTACCAGCCACTACAAAAACATACCAAATGGTAAAGAGCATCGACACAATGAAGAAACTGCATCAACTAATATTAAAGTTGATTAAACTATTTTGACTGAAATAAGCACTCAAAATAGTTTAATCATCTTTATTTATGCCTGGCACATGGTATTAAAAGTTTAAGTAAGAATGTCTATTGAATACATTTTTGACAAAGTATACTGTCCACCTCATTTTTTGATTCCATTTCCAAAGCTCTGAGCAGCACACACATACCAATAGCATTGTTCAGCATATATTCTTCTCTGAAGAAAACTGGAGCTAACTCCTGGTTTGCGTTTTTAGCTTCCGAGATCACTAGGAAGGAAAGATTACAAATCAAAAAAATGATTTAATAGCCAGCACCGTCAACTAGATTAAAAGTATTATGATAATTAAATACTGGGGGAAAGGGAGCACTCTAAAATGACTTGTTAAAATTTTGAAGTTGCCCCTGCCATAGACATATTACAGTAACACATCCATAGTCCAAAGTCAAAGCTTCAAGGCAAGAATTCCTATTCTTGTTTTCCATTGCTTCTTACAAAATGTTAGATTAGAAATTATAGGCTGGGCATGGTGGCTCAAGTCCTGTAATCCCAGCACTTTGAGAAACCAGGTGGGAGGATTGCTTGAGGCCAGAAGTCTGAAACCAACCTGTACAACATGGTGAGACCCTGTCTCAACAAAAAATTTTTAATTAGCTGGTATGGTGCCACGTGCCTGTAGTCCCAGTTGCTCAGGAGGCTGAGGTGGAAGGATCACTTGAGTCCAGGATACCAAGGCTACAGTGAGCCATGAATCACACCATTATACTCTGGCCTGGACAGAGGAGTGAACCTTCTCTTTAAAAAATAATAATATAATTGCAACAAACTGCATTTTCTTTTGATTATTTTCCCTAGCACCTAAATTAACATTTGTTAGACATACATTTCCTTTGGTAATATATCTTAATACAAAATGTATTATATATATGTGTATAGTACCACAATGTGTTGCATGTCCTTAAATATTTCTGCCACATTCATTTCCCCCATAATCATTTTTTGAGCATATATTAAGTACCAAGTACTGTTTTAGGTATTGCAAATAATGAGACAGCAATATAAGATGGCTGTCCTGGAGTTCAGACTGATAAGAAAGAGACTACTAAAACACATTCTTTGTCCTATAAGGATGGGGTGCTGTGGTAATGGGAGTAGGAGATGTGTAATTAATTCAAAGTAGGCTTCCTATAAGAGGTAACCCTAAGCCAAGTCTGAAAAGGTAAACCCTAAGCCAAGTTTGAAGAGGTAGATAAGAATTTCCTAGAAAATAACAGGAAGAAAAATTATGAGTAGGGGAAGCAGTACCCTACAAAGGCTCAGTGTCAAGAATGGAGTAAAATCAAGAATGAAACAGTTTTAAAAGACAAAAGGAAAAAGGTGACGCTAGACAGGCAAACAACATACTGACATTTTTATTAATATCAATAGAAATGTAACTTCTCAAAGACATTGCTACAGCATACTACTGCCTGGCTTAGAAAACAAATGCCCAGTAAACATCTACTGAATAGTGAACACTATCAAATGGTTTCACTTCTATTGCAATCTTCTTTAACCCAGAGTTCACATCTCCTACCATATTTTTCCTCCAATCAATTTGAAGACTGTTATCAAAGCTTTCTCTTTTATATACTGAAAGCTCATATGCCTTTCCTGTCTTTAAGTCCTATGAATATTATCTATTAAAACACAAACTAAACATTTCATAGAAAAGTTTCCTCTTTTTTGGGAAAGTATTACATACAAAATGTCTACAAATTTTTACACTAACTCTAGAATTCTCTTTTTTGTTTGCTTTGAGATAGAATCTCACTCTGTTGCCCAGGCTAGAGCAGAGTGGCACATTCTTGGCTCACTACAACCTCCATCTCCCGGGTTCAAGTTATTCTCCTGCCTCAGCCTCCCATGTAGTTGGGGGTACAGGTGTGCACCAACACGCCCAGCTAATTTTTGTATTTTTACTAGAGACAGGGTTTCACCATGTTGGCCAGCCTGGTCTCCCAACCTCAGATGATCTGCCTGCCTGGGCCTCCTACTCTGGAATTCTGATATCTCTTCCTTCAAAATGTTCCATATGTTGACTTCTTTTCCTGGTTTTTAAAAGAAAAATCTGACATCTACTTTTGTCATTCTGAGGTTTCACTGATATATACCTAAACAAATAAAAAAGACTGTTGGTCTTTGCCTACTGTCCTTTATTCAGATCTTATCACTGCTTACCAATTCTAAAAGGAAAGGAATATAGTTTTATTGCCTTTGGAATGAAGCTCTTTTCTCTCAAAAACCTTCTCAAATTTCCTTCTAATTTTTTCTGATACAATTTTTATTCTAACCAATTAGTTCCATATAAATTAAATGTTCTTCGTAATCAATTTTTGAAAATTTTCTGAGTGTCCACTTATTGTCTTGAACTATGATCTTTTAAGAACTAAATTTCCCAGACTTGAATCCATTGCTTTATATGTGCAAACTACAATAATTCTAGAATAAAATGTCAATATAAAATTAGGCCTATATACAGAAATAGCTCAGTCAGAAGAAGCTAATAAACTCAATACATAAAGCTCTGCCTATCTGTAAACTGACAAGATCACAGGCCACAAGAAAGGCTAATTTAAGGCCGAAAAGCGATATTTTAAAAATATGCATGTTGTTGGGAGGCCGAGGCGGGCAGATCGCCTGAGGTCAGGAGTTTGAGACCAGCCTGGCCAACATGGTGAAACCCTGTCTCTACTAAAAATACAAAAATTAGCTGGGCATGCTGGTGGGCACCTGTAATCCCAGCTACTCAGGAAGCTGAGGCTGGAGAATTGTTTGAACCCGGGAGGTAGAGGTTGCAGTGAGCCGAGACTACGCCATTGCACTCTAGCCTAGGCAACAAGATCAAGGCTCTGTTTCAAAAAAAAAAAAAAAAAAAAAAAAAATCCATGTCGTAAGCAAAACAATAGATTCAAAAACAAGTCAGTTAACAGATCAGTTTAAGCAATCAAAAGTTTCCATTAAACTGCAATTTTAAAATTCAGCTAAATTTAATAAGCATTTGAAATTATGTCCTGAATCCAGCTTTTTTCCTATTCCTAATGTAATGGTTTACATAAACATAAGTTTGGTGAACAAGCCCAAAGATTGTTAATACAATACAAACAAACAAATATATAAAATTTAAACACAAGGAAACAAACCATACCTGAACCCTACCAATTCCATAAGAAACAAAATACAAACGTAAAGTTTCAGTATATTGTATATATAATATGGACAATTATAGTGGTTATGATATACACGTGACACGGATCCTGAGAACAAACATTTCTTATAACATTTAAAAATGTGTATAGACAGACTGACCTGAACAATTTTTGAAAAATAAGGAGAGCTTCTCTTATTTATTTCAGCATGTTTAAAAATATGTAAAAATATATTTACAATGTAACAGGATAAATAAGTACATAGAAGATGCTTGCTTAGGGATCATGAATAGTGGGAAGCATAGAAAGTTATGGAAACATGTGAGAGCATGTCATATTTGGAGAATGGCAAGCCACTCAACATGGCCAGATTGTCAGGTTTGATGACTAACAGAGCTGCTTAATATAAGCTCTTCTAAAATATAAAGTTGACCCATATACCATAACTGGACATTTTGTTTGGGATGATTCAGAGAGAGACAACATATTTAAATTTCAAAAGGGTATCTGTGTAGTGAGAAAAAAATAATCAGCCACGCTCATTTGCTAATACTAATCATAAAAGTCTTAAAATTCATTTTTTCTAAGAATGTATTAACTTTATAACAAAAAATTCTAAAAAGTAAAGCAAATTACAAATTATTACAAAAATTTAACAATACTTGATCAGTTCTAGTGGGGCAAAAGAGCATTCAGGTGAAACAGAAAAATTTTTACCTCTGATATCACCCCCAGCACAGAAAGCCTTTTCTCCAGCTCCCTTTATAATAATCAGGAAAGTTTCAGGATCTTGTTCCCACTTCTATTCAAATGTAAAAAAAAAAAAAAGATGGTATAAGCACATTATGAACACAAACTCATTAAAGTTATATGCATATGCACATATATAATACAATCATATATTCATATACACGTGTGGCAGTACATATTCTTCTATAAGGTATCCAGAAGAACGAATCTCATCCCATTCTTCATTGAATGAACTTCATTTGCTTTTCTCGGATAAAGTAGAGGCTACTTCAAAAAGGCTGCTAGATGAGTACACTGCGTGATCCAAATTTCAAGACAGCACCTGAAATCTTTGCCGTAACTTTGATAGCAAGATGAACAAATATGGGCTTAATAATAGTGAGTTATATGAACATAAATTTGGAGAACAAATCAACCCCAAGACTGTTGATAAATAGAGCAATAACCTTTCTACTGTGCTGATACAGGGCTCTCTGTCCTCACAAATGTGTAAGTAACAGAATGAAACTACTTATGATACTGATTAAAATATGCAACTGATTTTGGTTTGGTAAAGACAGCTAATAAATAGAATGAAAGAATCAAGAGCCAATGAAAATGTGAAAGTCTAGAACAATGGACAAAAAGAAAGTTAGTTAAGAAAACTTAACAGGTGTTCTATCAATCTATAGATCTAAGGTTGAGTATCCCTTACAGGAAATGCTTGGGACCAAAAGTGTTTCAGACTATTTTAGATTTTAGAATATTTGCATACACATTATGAGATATCTTGGGGATTGGACCCAAGTCTAAACACAAAATTCCTTTATGTTTCATATATACCTTATACATATAGCCTGAAGGTAATTAATTTTCCCTTAGGGATGCTGAACAAACATTGTGTTGTGCACTTGTGTTTGACTGCGAGTCATCAAGAGGGAGGTGTGGAATTTTCCACTTGTGGAGTCATGTCGATGCTTAAAGAGTTTTTTAATTTTGTAGTGTTTTGAATAAGGATGTTCAACCCCTACTAGAGAATAAATATGTAACGCACAAGGAAGATGTAGCTGAACAGATGTGATTGTCCAAAAGGTTCATGCAATATTGGACTACATTAATTACATTAATAGAGAAGTTTTCTAACATGAACATTTCTAATTTCTTCCACTCTGGTCCAACTCTAATTTGCAACAGTTGGCTTATTTCTATATATCACATTTTTGACATATTATAAAGGTATCTCAAACAGAAACACAAGAATGGAAGACAGATTCATCAAATGAGAATTAAAGAATTGGTAGCCAGGGGAAAACTAGTATTTGTTCAACATCTACATAGCAGAACGTATTAGGTACTTATACAGTCTATTCACTTAATGTTTACATATCATCATCCCCATTTCAGAGCTGAGGAGAGTGAGGTACAGAGCTTAACTTTCTCAGCTTACACAGTTAATAACACAGTTAATTAATAGAAATCCAAGTTTCAAACCAGTCTGACTTTAAGTCCTGTTTTTCTACTATCCCATGCTGTTCACATAGAAAAGTTTATGGCCTTCTCTGAGAAAAAGCAGAACAAGCAGTTTCAAAGCAGCTGTCTTCAAATGAAAAGGCCGTCATGTGGAAGCAAATTAGATTTGTACTCATGCCCTCAGAGGCAGAGCCAGTATCACTGGTTTAAAGGTCAGAGAAACGCAGAGTGCCAGAACACAAAAAGAAACTTGCAAACAAATCAGTGCTACATAAAAGTCAAAGATTCTGTTTCAGGAGGCATCGAACTCCTCATCACCAGGGATGCTCAAGAATAACCTCACAGGTGAAGCACTGAAGCCTCAAGAATCAATGGGGCTTAGCTAAACACACATCCCAGGGCAACATGTGATTCTATGAGAGAAAATACCAGAAATGTCCTATTATGATATTCTTCTAAAAAAAAAAATCCATATAATTGCTATAAGAAAATTACAAACCTTTAGCTGTGGATAAATCTGCTGAATCATATTAACATTCAATGTATTTAGCAACTTTGGTCTGTTTAGTGTTATGACTCCTGCACAACCTTTTTTTTCCAATAGTACCTCTTCTGTGGCATCTGTGTGCTTGGACATTATCTGTATAAACAAAGAATTATGACAAAATTTCTTAAGTTTTTATCACAAACCAACATCAAAACATACATATCAAATGCAAATCTTACATGTTAATGATAACCAAAGGAATGAGTAACTAGGTACTTCTGACAAGTTTCTAAAGTTATTCAGATTACATAGATGAGCAATTCCAAAGCAAATCATGTAATTCCAAAGCTCAACTTTAGAAACTTGTCTAAAGTTTCTAAAGTTATTTAGATTACATAGATAAACAATTCCAAAGTGCACACCTCCTAAATTTTTAAATTTTTATTTCAGAGCTAATTGAATAAGCTGACTTATCATAGAGCCCAGTCTGGAATTTCTTGGACACTGAAATACTCTTAAATCTTTTAATTTACTACTGTATATCAAACTCTATGTTACATGCTAAGAAAGCAAAGAAGAAGAAAGAGCAAATAATTCTGACTATTGTAGCTATGGTCAACTTGAAAATAAAGGTGATATTTGAGTTGGGGCTTGACGTATCCCAAGAAAAAGGCGAGGCGAGAATTCCAGGCAGAGGAAACAGCACATGCTAAGCCATAAGCAATGACTATTTGAAAATGTTAAGATGTTAAAACATTTGTGGAACAAAGACTGCGTTGAGGAAATGAGTGATGAGACGATAGGCAGAGTAAGTAGTTTGCAGCCAGATTATGACAGACTTAATAATTGTGAAGAAGTTGCCTGTACACTGACTTAAGGCCTTTCGCAATATAACTTAATCACCAGGTCTCACTACTCATGTATTTTGCAGTATTAATAAAACACCTGTGAGGAACACAGTTTTAACTATACAGTGGTTTCCCAGGACTCTGCTATGTCCAACCATTAGGACTCTTGACACCACCATTCTTTTCTAAGTACTGGGATACATGTGCTGAATGTGCAGGTTTGTTACATAGGTATACATGTCCCATGGTGGTTTGCTATACCCATCAACCCGTCATCTAGGTTTTAGGCCCTGCATGCATTCGGTATTTGTCCTAATGTTCTCCCTCCCCTATCCCCCACCCCCCAACAGGCCCCAATACATGATATTCCCCTCGCTGTGTCCATGTGTTTTCACTGTTCAAACTCCTACTTAACAGAGAGAACATGCAGTGTTTGGTTTTCTGTTCCTGTGTTAGTTTGCTGAGAATGATGGCTTCCAGCTTCATCTATGTCCCTGCAAAGGACATGAACTCAGTCTTTTTTATGGCTGCATAGTATTCCATGGTGTATATGTGCCACATTTTCTTTATCCAGTCTATCATTGATGGGCATCCGGGTTGGTTCCAAGTCTTTGCTATTGTAAATAGTGTTGCAATAAACATACATGTGCATGTGTATTTATAGAATGATTTATAATCCTTTGGGTATATACTCAGTAATGGGATTGCTGGGTCAAACGGTATTTCTGGTTCTAGATCCTTGAGGAATCGCCACACCGTCTTCAACAATGGTTGAACTAATTTACACTCTAACCAACAGTGTAAGAGTGTTCCTATTTCTCCACAGCCTCACCAGCCTCTGTTGTTGCTTGATTTTTTAATAATCGCCATTCTAACTGGCAAGAGATGGTATCTCACTGAGGTTTTGATTTGCATTTCTCTAATGACCAGTGATAATGAGTTTTTTTCATGTTTGCTGGCCACATAAATGTCTTCTTTTGAGAAGTGTCTATTCATATCCCTCTTCTACTTGATTTTTTTTTCTTGTAAATCTGTTTAAGTTCCTTCTAGATTCTGGATATTAGCCCTTTGTCAGATGGGTAGATTGCAAAAATTTTCTCCCATTCTGTAGGTTGCCTGTTCACTCTGATGACAGTTTTTTTTGCTGTACAGAAGCTCTTTAGTTTGATTAGATCCCATATGTCAATTTTGGCTTTTGTTGCAATTGCTTTTGGTGTTTTAGTCATGAAGCTTTTGCCCACGCCCATGTCCTGAATGGTATTGCCTAGGTTTTCTTCTAGAGATTTTATGGTTTGGTGTTTTACATTTAAGTCTTTAATCCAACTTGAGGTAATTTTTGTATAAGGTGTAAGAAAGGGGTCCAGTTTCAGTTTTCTGCATATGGCTAGCTAGTTTTCCCAGCATTACTTATTAAATAGGAGTCCTTTCTACATTGTTTGTTTTTGTCAGGTTTGTCAAAGATGGCACCACCATTCTTACTTGTTCCTTTAAGTAAAGACAACACTTAAAACCTTGCATGGGAATAGTGTGCAATGTACAATCGAAAGGTGAAATTGGAAAATTTTAACTGGAGAAGGCCAATAAAAACTAAACAGCATACTTATTAGCAAAACTATCTAATGAAACCTAGAAATACATTTTTGACTGCATTAAGTAACATGTTTATATATTAAGTTCTTCATGAAGTCAAGTTGCATATTAAATATTGGAGTTAAGTTTTGTTAAAATTATCAAACAAAAATAAAAATCATTTATATTCACTTAAAGTTACAGGAACAGTTATTCAACAACAGACAAAGTTGCGTCTTTTCAATTTCATTTGAATTTCTCACTGAGATTCTCTAATGAGAAATTCAAATCAAAACTTTAGCAATAGTAATATATATTTGGTAATCACATTGACAATGACCAAAAAGTCTGATATACACACACACACAAACACAAGCCTGATACATTCTTATGTTGAGTATAAGTAAACAAATGTACTGTGGAAGGATAAACTATTACAGAACCTGAGAAAAACAGTCTGACAACACTTTTTTTTTTACAGATAGATACGCATGGTTTTTATTTTTCTAAATGCTAGGAAATACTGTTAAGGATTTTTTTAACTTTTAGGTTCAGTGGTACATGCGCAGGTTATATAAATTCATGTCATGGGAGTTTATTGTACAGACTGTCATAGAAGCCTAGTACCCAATAGTTATTTTTTTCCGATCCTCTCCCACCTCCCACCCTCCACCCTCAACTAGGCCCCAGTGTCTATTGTTTGCCTCTTTGTGTCCATGTGTTCACATCATTTAGCTCCCACTTAGAAGTGCGAACATGCCGAACATGCGACATTTGGTTTTCTGTTCCTGCATTAGTTTGCTAAAGATGATGGCCTCCAGGAACCTCCACGTACCTACAAAGAACAGGATCTTGTCCCTTTTTATGGCTACATAGTATTCAATGGTGTGTTTATCACATTTTCTTTATCCAATCTGCCACTGATGGGCATGTAGGTGATTCCATTGTCTTTGCTCTTGTGAATAGCACTGCAGTGAACATATGTACGCATGTGTCTTTATGGTGTTATGATTTAAATTCATTTAGATATACATCCAGTAATGAAATTACTGGGTCAAATGATTGTTCTGTTTTTAGCTCTTTGAGGAAATTACCACACTTATTTCCACAATGGTGGAACTAATTTACACTCCCATCAACATTATTTTCTCGACAACCTCACCAGCATCTGTTATTTTATTTATTTATTTATTTATTTTGAGACGAAGTCTTGCTCTGTTGCCCAGGATGGAGCGCAGTGGCGCAATCTCAGTTCACTGCAACCTCCACCTCTCAGGTTTAAGCAACTCTCCTGCCTCAGCCTCCTGAGCAGCTGGGACTACAGGCACAAGCCCAGCTAATTTTTTTTTTGTATTTTTAGAAGAGACATGTTTCACCATATTGGCCAGGCTCGTCTTGAACTCCTGACCTTGTAATCCACCCTCCTTGGTCTCCCAAAGTGCTGGGATTATAGGCGTGAGCCACTGTGCCCGGCTAGTACTAACGAGGGTCAATCCTGCTTAGTTTACGAGATCAGATGAGATCAGGCATGTTCAGGGTGGTATGGCCATACACTACATCTGTTATTTTTTGTTTTTTTAATGCTAGCCATTCTGACTGGTGTGAGATGGTATCTCATCATGGTTTTGTTTTGTATTTCTCTAACAATCAGTGATACTGAGCTTTTTTTTTTTTCTCATATGTTGGTTGGCCGCATGTGTATCTTCTTCTCAAAAGTGTCTGTTCATGTACTTTGCCCATTTTTTAATGGGGTTGTTTTTTCTTGTAAATTTGTTTAAGTTCCTTATAGATGTTGGATATCGGACCTTTGTCAGATGCATAGTTTGCAAACGTTTTCTCCCATTCTGTAGGTTGTATGTTTGTTGATAGTTTCTTTTGCTGTCCAGAAGCTCTTTAATTAGATCTCATTTGTCAATTTTTCTTTTGTTGCAATTGCTTTTGGCATCTTCGTCATAAATCTTTGCCCATTCCCATATCCAGAATTATACTGTCCAGGCTGTCTTTCAGGGTTTTTATAGCTTTGGGTTTTACATTTAAGTCTTTAATCTGTCTTGAGATAATTTTTGTATATGGTATAAGGAAGGGGTTCAGTTTCAATTTTCTGCATATGGTTAACCAGTTATCCCAGCACCATTTATTGAATAAGGAATCCTTTTGTCATCACTTCTTTTAGTCAGGTTTGTCAAATATCAGACACTTGTCTATCTGAATGGCTGTAAATTAGAGTTGGTCAAAAGATTAATCTACATCAGTATTGGAATTGGAAGTGAAGCGGCGGCCATTACTCTCTGAAACTGCCAGCAAGTTCCAGCTTGTCCTTCCTCTTCTGTGCTCTGCAACCAGCTTGCCCAGGTCCACCAGCAGACAAAGACTTTACCACTTCTCAGTCTCTTCACCTCACCTTCACAGTCTCACTCCAGCAGCTGGAAGTGCCTTGCCTCCCAGATTTTCTTGCAAGTTCCTGCTGCCCACCTGTAACCAGCAGGTGAGTAGGAAGGAGAGTGAATAACTCTTTTGATCCTCCAACTCCCATTCCTGGACCATTTAATAGCTTTGTCACTACTGCGGAAGATTGTATTCCCATAATAAGTCATTTATTCCCTAATATTCAACAGTGGTTCTACTTCTAATATGGCTCAGATGAGTGGAGGAACACCAGGGCTCCTGTCTCACACTGAATTAGACAAAGCAACATGGACATACATGGAGTGGTTTTAGGAGTAGAGTTTAATAGGC